TGGAGGGCAAAACAACCTGCACCCACCACTGGCACTTTGACATGACATAACATGGACAGCAATGCCATCAATTCTCTTCATAAAGCTCTTTTGGGGTTTTAGTTTTAACAAACCAAACTGCCATTCTTTGACCCTAAAGCCCCAGGAGCCCTCGTTTTCCCAGCAGTTGCTGCAGCTTGGTGACAAAGCTGACACAGCACAAGAAGACACAAGGGAGATGCTACACAATCTTCCTCACCCAAGGGAGGCAGCTGGGATGGGCACTCCCCAACAACCCCTCACCAGCTCACCAGGCAAAAGGCACTTCCCATGGCAGAACAATGAGAGTGAGCCCAGGTACCTTCACCTTCCACTGAGCTCCTCAGGGCTCCCAAGAGCCCTGCCCAGGGAGCAGCCCTGAAAACTCTCATCAAATGATACCAACAAACCAAGTCAGAACCTTGGCAAAGGGCAGCAAGGGACCAACAAATGGTCTCACACAGCACTTTGCAGCTCAGCCGGGACTGAGGAAGAAACACATCAGATTCTGGCACAGGAAGTCAGAACAGATGGACACATCAGCCCTCACAACCTTAAACATCCCCAAGTCAGTTAAAGCAGTCAGACCCTCCCCTAGGGAGAGCAGAACCAGCCGAGCTACTAACAAGCAGAGCACAGGAGCATCATGCCACCAAACACTACCTCTGTGAGATTACCCGGGTGCCTTGGAGATGAGGTGCTCCTTGCAGGACACGGAAACAGCACCCAGAGCAGACATAGGGAAGCAGCCCCTGCTCCAGTCACCCATTTATCTACAGGGGGTGCAGCCTGAGGAGCAATCCCACCTGGCTGCAGATGAGGAGCTATCTCACCAGCTGGAAGTGATAAGCAATCCCACCCAGCATCCAGCCAGTCCCCCAGGTGCAGATCAGTACCAGGTACCAGGGATCTGAGCCCTCTGTTCTTTGGGCTCTACCAGCCTGCAAGGCCTCACTTTAATGTAATTTTTTATACTTTTACTGTAAATGGTAGAACACTGCTGGGCTTTTGTAAAGGTTTGTCAGCTGCATCCCCACTCCCCAAACCCTTCCTCAAGGCAGCTCTGCCCCTACTTCTCCCTAGATTTTAACAATGTGCAAGAGCTGCTGCAAGCTGCCATGGCCCCCATCATTTTCTCCTTAATCCATATGCATATTCTTCCTAATGTTAATATATGTTCTTAACACACAATTTGTATTGTTCTCATGGTATTGTTTACTACACAGAAAACTCAAACCCATCCCTTTGCTGTGCAGGCAAGAGCAGCCTGAACCTGGGGTCTGGGTATCCTCACAGGGGTCACTGCACACAGAACCTGCCTCCACTGCCCCCAGTATCTGCTCAACTGTCATTTGCATTTGTATCTAGTTCCTAAGGCTAGCAACATCTTCTTATGAGCAAAATAAAACTGGGAAAATATTTGTGTGTTTGACTGGCTGAAAGTGACAGAGCAGGCACGGCTGGCCCACCGTGGACTCTGGGGCTGGGGGAGCCCCAGCATGGATCCTAGGACCGCTCTCATCCATGAAAACACCCTCACTCCTGCTCCATGCTGGAAAATGTCCCCGCTCCTGCCCCCCGCAGCCAGACTCCGCCGAGCAGCCCCCGCTGCCGTCAGCTCCCCGGCTCTCCTGGCATTAAACATTGATGCTGCCGGTGGGTGAGCAGAGTAGCGTGGCTGGGACCGGCTCTCGTGGCAGTACAATCACGGTGTGACGGGGGCGCTGCCCGCGAGCCCCGGGGGACGGGCAGGGAGCCGCTCCCCCAGCAGCCTCAGTGCCCACATCCCGCAGCATCGCCCGGAGCATCTTCCGGAGCACCTCCCGGAGCGCGGCGGCTGTGATGGGTGACAACGGGGCTGAGCAGGCGGCTGGGGTGGGTGACCAGGGGGCTGAGCATGTGGCTGTGATGGATGACCAGGGGGCTGAGCACACTGCACCGACAGAGCTGGAGAAGATCACCAGCAGAATCTCTGATCTGAACAAATGGAGAGAAATCTTTAGTTTTCGTGGGTAAGATTTATTCTCCTTCTTGATCACATTTTTAATTCCAGGTGGTTATTTAACATAATTTTTAAAGTTATGTTTTATTACTAAATTTATGTGATGATGACAAAAAGTCCTTGTGTACACAGTAACACAACTGCCCTTACTCTTCCTTTCTTCTGGGGTTCTCTTCTGGATGGCTCTGGTTTCTCTGTATGTCAGCAATATCTCTGTTGGGGTTTTCAATTTGTACATTATTTTGCCTTTTCAGCTTGGAAATCAGCAATACAACTCACCAGGTAACTGCTTCCCCAAAGGTAACGTTTTCTGTTTGTCTGGTGGGTTTGGGGCTGTCCCGTAGAGTTGGCACACTGAGGAAGTCACACATCCATACCTGCAGCCCAGGTCTCTATGGAGATTCGTTCCTCTTGCTGCTCTATTGAGAAATAGATGTTTTCTTCAGGTGTTTTGAAGGAATGTCTTCCTGATTTAAATCATAGGGGCAGAGCAGTCCAACACAAATTAACCTTTCTGTCCAAAACTAGTGATTTTCACGGTCCGTTTTAGACCACAGAGAAAAGGATAACAAACACAGACTCCAAAATGTAAGTATTTGGAAAACTTGCTGTGCCCTTAGCTTGGGAAGCCCTGAAGTGTGTTCCCTATAATTCAGACAAGCACAGTGTTATTCCCCACTCCAGTCATTAGCTTGTAGGAAGGTGTTCGGAATGTCTGCAAACAGCTGGAAGCTAAGAGCACCTCTGCTCCAGGGCAGCCCCTGTGTCCCCCTCCCCGCCGTGATCCCCCGGGCGGGTGCTGTGCCCATCGCACCAGGAATACTGGGGGAATCTTGCAGTGGACGGGAGGCAGCAGCCCCGGGATGACACACGGTCTGCTCCTCTTTCTGCAGCGAGGCTGGGGCAGCGCTGGCGATGGACCACCCGGAGCTGGGGAGCCCCCCGGGCCGCAGCCTCCCTCCGCCGTCACCCCACCCCTCCTGCTGCCTCTGGGCGCGGGCGGCCGCCCCATCTGCCCCGACACGGCGATGGTGAGCTGCTGCTCAATTAAACATGAGCTGTAATTGAATCTCCTGTAGTGAAAGAGACTCGGGAGCCTCTCCCGGCGCTCGGGCGTCTCGGCGCGCCGCTGGCTGCGGGCTGCAGCCTGCTGTCAGCTAACTAGGGCCGGAGTGGGGATGGATTATTTATGAGACTTTTAACGAACGTGGCAGCAACACAACCTTAAAGCTGATACGCAATAATTCTCATGAGAGAACCATTCAAATGATAACGGGTAACGTTTCCCTGCACTTTGGGGCTTCTCTGGAAAACAGCTTCAGGACAGGAGGCAGGATCATGGAATCATAATCGTTTGGATTGGAAAAGGCCTTTTAGACCATCAGTGAGTGATTTCAGTCCCCGTTGAGTGCCTTGTCCTGGGAGTGCTGCTGCTGGCTGCTGCTGTCCGGTAGTACTGGGGTTCTGCAGGTGATGGCAGAATAGCCCCAGTGCAGGACTTCTCCAAAAGGTGCACTGTGCTCAAATGTGTATTATTACACACTGCAAATGATTTTCACTGGAGCAGCTGAGTGCTGATTAAAGTCCCTGCACTGACCTCAAACATCACCTTTGCTCTGAAGTTGTCTGGCCTGACAGTGTGACCCTGCTCCGTGTGTGATACTGTGTGGGCATACACTCTGAACCTGCACCCCAAAACATCCTGATGTTACAGATCCTGCCAAGTGCTGGGATGAGGGATCTGACCCTGAACCCTCTGCTTCCTTCTCGGCAGGGGATGCAGAAGCTACTGTTTGGGAACACGACTCAAGTCTTCAGCTGCGAGTGGGCAGCAGCACACTTCAGGTTCCGTCAGCCACGCTCCGACCTGGCCTACGCGCTGGAGGCAGGAAAGGTGAAAGTGTCACACAGCAACTGGCACCAGCTCCTTGGTGTCTTGAATGTGGGAGCTGGCAGCCCGTGCTGGGGGCCTCAGCAGCACACACACTTGCCCCCCATGCTCATCACTCCTGCACCCCTTGCCCTGCCAACCTCCCAGGCTGAGATTTCCCCACTGGGCAGGCTGCAGGGGCTCCAGCCACAGCCCTCCTCCCCAGCTGTCCTTGCAGGGGAGCCACTAGCCCGAGGCTGGAGTGGGATGGACAGCCTGGATCCAACAGCTTGCTGTGGGCACAGGCTGTGATACCCACTGTGAGATGCTCCAGGGGAGGGCTCAGGAGAGGCAGCAGGTGGGTTTAGGTAGGCACAAATCAGCAGGATTTTTCTCTTTCTTTTCTGGGAATTGGTTACCTAATTCTTCCAAACCTAGAGATCCAACAGGTAAAGTCACCTATACTTTCATTCTTTCAGAGGGAGGTTTTCTTCGTCTTTATTTGCCATCACAACACTACACACAAAGAAGCAGAAGCCCAAGATACACACTCAAACTGTATATCCCTTAAACCCACATGGA